AGTGCTACATTCATTAGGCCAGGTTCATTTCCATTCCAAAAGAGCAGTTGTCTCGCCGAAATAAAGGTCCGTAAGATTAATTACAACTGGCTGCGACGGACCTGCAGGTGATAAGAACAAATTCCCTGACTGGACATGAAATAGCGATTAAAAAGCCCAACGTCAAAGTCACACCTGCTGTTTGTTTATTGTCCCCGTGCCGAGCGCGTATTATTTAGCCTTTGTCACACATAAAGCGCTTGCGAGTTTTAAACCATAAACAAATTTCCCTTTTCCAGACGAGGTGGTCACGTACTCGGGCGATTTTGGCAGCGGGCTCGGATGGGAAGATGAGGAGGAAGAGGAGGCGGAGGAGAACGGCGAGGAGGCTGAGGAGGAGGAAGGGGAGGTGGGGGAGGTAGATGACGGCGGATACATTTGGTAGAACGAAACACGATTCTCGCCTTGTCCGACGTAGCTTTCTGTGGCCCATTTCTACAGAGGCAGCTCTATCTTCTGACATTAAACGGTGGACTCTGGAGGGTCTGTCATCTTTATACTGCACTCCAAACAGCATTGACTTCGGGGGGAGGGTGGCTTGATTAGTGTTCGCTGTAGTGAGATTAAGGTATTGGGAACGAGCTTTCAATTATTGAGCTTCTGAATACTTGTGAAACATATTTTTGTTGTAAGTGCAAGAGTTTTCTCCTGAATCAGTCTCTAGCATCTGCAAACACGAGCTCAGAATTAGGCACTTGATGTGATGCATTCTTATGCAAGTCTAATAAATACATACTATCATCACTATTCGTTCGGAAATGCCAAAATGATACCTGTTATGTCTAAAGCAAATTTTTAAAGTATGTATATAAAGATAGACAGGCTGCAGGGTCTAACCTGTTTCATTAGATCTTCTGTCGACCATCAGCAACTGCTTTCTTCGAGGAATCGAGACTGCTGCTAATGTTTTTGCTATTAGAGTTTATGTAAATTGTTTAAAATGTCCTCCAAAAGATTTAGCGTATATAAACACAGATTACTATAAAGACAAAGAGACACAAAGTCAAAAAAACTCAGAGCTAAGTTAGCTTAGCTTAGCTTAGCTCAAATAGCTAAGACTGTTACCCTGTTATGTTCTGGCTGAAACAGTCTCTGCATCATTTCTTTGCTACCTTGAAGTAGATATAGTCGTAAATGTCTTGAGATAAAGTAGCCTTTGTCAGTGTATTTGAAGAACTATTTCTCCACGCTCACAAACTACAACCGACTTTAGGCTACTTCCCAGAAATACACATTGCACTTCTACAAGATGATCCTTGTCCTAAAGGCACTGTTTTTTTCCCCGTCTTTAGTGTAATAATGCACCGAAACCAGAGATGGCAAAGCATTATATTTTCATATAAATTACGTCTCAATGCAGTAGCTTTCTCCCTCACCCCGACGTCCCAATCATTGTTTTCTTTGAAATGGACAGTAATAAATCCTGAGATATGTGCGCTCTGGTTTCATATGTGTGTCATAATAGAATTTGCTTATACTCCACTAGGTCTGGCTGTAATACGGTACTTCTGATGCAACACAACTATTATAACGAGGCAGTGTATGGATGAACAGGAGAGGCAGGAATGAGCTTTCAAAAATGCGTTCCGACATATTCTCTCTCATATACCCAAAGGGACCAGTCTGTCTTTGCAGATGTCTTCTAATCAGATCTTCCCATCATTTGCAGTGAAAGATGTGTTGGCTGTAATGTTCCTAGGTGTAAATCTGGTGCTGAAGGGATTTATATTCAAGGTCTGAATCTTAAAATCTACGACTAAAGGTAAAGTACATGAGTCTTGCAGTAAAAAATATCTAAAGCATCAGTTTTTATGGTTAAAATGCTGTAAAACATGTATGAGTTACAGACTCGGTCTGGTATGATAATTCACTCAGTCATGATTTCGAAGCTCCACACAGGCAAGAGAAAATGCATTTGATATGGTAACATCCCCAACGTAAACACATTCATCAATGTACCGCGGCATCTACAGAAGAATATGAATCCTCCAAATGTCAAAATATGAATCTTGACGATATTTAAATTAGTTGAGGATTATCATAGGCGATACACCTTGCTGGTGTGATGGAAAGATGGCCCGCTCATTAAAAGTCAATAGTGAATGTCCTGATGTCTTACTCAGCAGTGTACAGGAGTCTGCTAACAGTGATGTTATACCACTTGGACTAGTGTATGATTGTATTGTACTGTACATGCCATTATTATTGTAAATACTTGGATTTCATCGCTGAGTTGCAGTATATTTGCATTTAGTTGCATGTTTCTTTGTCCAAGTGTGTCATCTTTCTTGCCTGAATATGATTAAAGGCACTGGGCCCGAAAGTGCTGTTCCTTTGTTCTCCTAATTACTCCCAAGACTCTGCGACATGCTAATTTTCATGTGACACTGGAGACATGAGAAAACAAATCTTTTCAACCCTCTTTTAAACACATTTTTTGACAAGTGCAATTTATAATGACTACCAAAAATACCCAACAAAAGCTGGTTCTCAAGACGAACGAGTAACCAGAGGGTTAAAAAAAAGACTGTAATAGAAGGCATGATGTAAACACGTCTTTCAAATATTCACTTATTGTCATTAAGAGAAAAAATGTGCATGATGAAATTCTAATTCTCTGAAAACACACTATTTTAATACTGCATAGTTTCATCATTGGCACACATTTCATATATTGGTGATCCAGTGAAGCAACATGCTTGACATCAACCTAGTTAGAAACCAGTTTTCAGCCTTGGTTTCTTATCATCCCTGGTTTCTAACTAAAAAAATGTGATGGAAAAAAATGTTAGAATACTGCATTGTTTTAGTTTTGGCATGCATTTCATTTATTAATGATGCACTGCAGCAAACTGCTAGGCATTAACATAAAATGGTTATAAATCATTTTACTTTTTTTTTTTTACTTAAATTGACCAGTCATTATGTTCACTTGCATGTATCAGAATATTTAATCAGTTTAAGGGGTGCAGGATTTTTTGTGGATTTTTAAATCAGTCAGTCAAGTTAAGTTATTGTACATTAAAATGTCCACAAATAAGAAGCTCAGAAATATACACCATTTTATTGTCAGTACAGAGCTATGTCATATTATCATTTTTCAATAACATTTTCGCATCTTCAGCAACTTTACAATACACAAAGATTAATTTTAGTAGTTATATATTCATTCTAAAGCATCTTGTATGTTTGGAAACAATCACAGGAATTCATGTGAATTCATATTCAGTTTTATTTTGGAGAATGATCAAAGCTTGCTCTGAATGCTTTGTAGTCTCCATATCTTCTTGACATCATCCTCTGCACTGTCTAAGGCCTTAAACACAGCAGCATCTCCAGTTTGAGCAAAACGTCTCAGCAGAGGCTCCAGAACAGTCACTGGGATGCTGAAGTTCAGATGGGGATACGTCACTTTTGCGGCAAAGTCTCTTGTGTTACTGGTCACGATACCTAATATTAGAATATATAAGATTTTAAAAAATCATGTGAGAAAAAATCTGCCTATGAAAACCTGATTTAGTCAAACATTATCAGCAGAAAAGGGCTGGAATACACTTGATGCCTGACAGTAAGAGAGAAAAATATGCTTAATTGGTCAAGTGGTGCCCCCTTTCGGTTATTATTAGGTATTGTATATTTCAATTTCCAGTGAATACTGTATTTCTACAGACAACTGGTTGATGTGCTGATAAACAAAACCTTTTTCAATTAATTCCTAACTGTTTAAAAATAAATGTATGAATGATATTACCTAACAATTCTCCAGTGGCAGAACGAACCACAGCGCCACCACTGGCTCCAGACTGCACAGCACATGTAGTCTGCAGCATCACAGGCTGTGACTGATGGGTAATAACTCTGGATAAGATCCCTGAGGTCATCGAGGGGCCACAGCTGCTCCCTAAAGCTCCATAACCCACAACAAGCACATCCTCACCTAAACAAACACATAACATGAAAATGTCAGGTGCTGCACAGGGACAAAGTACACACAGTTACAAAATGATATGTTATATAAACTGAAATGGATTATTATATTTATAATACATTTAAATTATGACTTTATATATATATATATATATATCTTATATGTATGGTCAACAAACAAAGAATTTAGATTCACAAATAATTTTAGTTCATCATGCTTTGGCAATTCATAGTTATGACAAAACGTCAAAACTATGAGATAGTAAGTCATAGGAGATAAAGTCAAAATTATGAGATACAAATTCATAATTATAAGTTGAAACGCCAAGCCATAATTTATCAATTTAGAATTTTTGTCATAATTATGATGTCATCATTTTACTTTATAGTTTGTTATAATTGAGATCATAACTATGACTTGTCATAATTTCGACTTACATGTGATAATGACAAGTCATAATTGTGTCATAAATTTTGTCATAATTTCATAATTATGACCTCATAATTTAGACTTTTTGTTAATTTCAATGTTTTATCTAATAATCATGACTTAATGTGTCATAATTGTGGTTTATTATCTCATCTATGATTTGCCAAAGCATGTTTTTTTTTCTTGTGGCAGAAATAAGTTCTTCCAAAGTTCTATTTTGTATGTAAAGAAAAGGGGTTTAATATGAAATATACTTATAGTGTCAAAAATCATGTTGATTTTTGGTTGTGTATTTTAAAAGGGTTAAATATAAAATACAGTGTCAAATATCATGTTGATTGTTGGTGTATGCAACAACCAAATACAACATGGATACAAAACCACCTGATATTTGGATATGAAGTTATCACACATATAAACCAACACACACGGGAAGGAACAAATATTTGTCTTATGTTGGTGGCTTTAGACATCCACAAAAAAAAATAAAAATCACACCAAAATCTCAGAACAAACATGGCTAAATATGAGTTTTAATACAACAGGTTTGCAGCACATTACCTGGGTGAAAGTATGTGGTAAACTGTGTATTTACTGAGTTTGCGAGGGGCTCCTGAAGCTCCACCACAGCGATATCATAGGGAGATGATGGTACTGATGAATACAGCACCTTACCACTTACTGTATGAAATCTGAGGTGGAAAGTTTAGATATTATTATAAATCCCATGGTGATTAAAAATACAATAATACCAATAACATGTAACAAGTTCAACAAAGATCAACAAACAAAATGTCAGTACCTTCCTCCAAAGTTGACCCTGACTGTAAGCACAGATTTTTCATTCACCACATGCCTGCAGGTCAGAACCAGATTCTGGTTTAGCAGCACACCAGAACCCCACAGCTGGCCGGTCTCAATCAGGGCAACTCCAGTGTAAAATTCAGAGCCTGTCCTTCGGTTTGCAGTTAATGGAGCTTGAAGAGAGCCAGTGATTAACTGTGATGACTCTTCTATCAGCGGCTCCTGGATGGCACCAGCCTGTAGCATGTTTTTCAGAATCAGGTGAACAGAGCACACAAGTGTCAGCCCAATCCATTCATCTGATTTCCAGCACAGTGGTGAAACGATCAAACCCACAAGGTAAGATCTGCCTCCTTTGCTAACAAACACACCGCCTCCTTCGGTGCCAGGCAAGCAGCGGGCATCAGTCAGGATCAGGGCATTCTCAGCTCCTGCCAGATTACTAACTATACCTTTACTAATTGTGTTCATGAAGAGGTCTGGACAGAGACCACCGAATGGAGACCCACATGCGATGACATGACATCCCTTTTCAAGACTGCCACTCTTCACCCATTGAATAGTTTCCTTGCAGGTGCATGTGGATGAAGTGGGCACTTTTAAAAGTGCAAACCAACTTAAAAATCTGGAGTCTTCCAGAACTTCTGTATCCAAAGTACCACTATAAAAGCCCCAGTTATCAGCCCCCTTGAAGATTTTGTTAAATGCATCTTGAAACTCCACACAATTGATCATCATTAACAGACGAGCCTCTTGACGGCTCGTATTGCGTCTGTCCGTTACACACGACTGGTTGGCGCAAACGTGAATGTAATCTACATACACTTTTAGCTCTTTAGTGAAACTTCCAGAATGCATTATTTTCGCGTCTTTCTTCATGGACTGTCTATCATTGATAAAGCGTGAAAACAAAATGCCACTACAGACTATAATCCCAGACTGGTAATTCAGAAACACTCCACTACAGCTCAATTCTTTATTCGGAGATCCAGATGTGAGGTTGAGCGGCTTCTCGGACACTGTGACAACACAACATGCCTCTTCCGCAATCTTCATTTTCAAACGTTAGATATATAGAGATATGTCTATATAACAGTATTAAATTGGTTCAACAAAATGGTCACAATTTTTATGCTAATAGTAGAAGTGTTCTCGCATCTTGCAACGAGTTCAAGATAGAAATGTCAACGCGGCGCTGGAGGTCAAATTATAAATAAGAACACCATGCTAACAAACACAGTTTGTCAATAACAACTAGTTAGGGTTGCAACGAATACCTCTCACCGGCTAGATAATTTAATAATATCTATATGAATTTATCGCCGATTTGATCCATCTGCAGCGCTTCCTGGTATGATTTCATTGGCGTAAAAGTAATCACGTGGTATATGAATCGTTTATCCATGTTATAATTGGAAGTCCGACTCTTTCGAACAATTCGTTTCATAGAACCGGTTCAGTGGTTCTTTTACGTCGCCGTTATCACAGACATAAAAATATGATCGTTATGTCCGAAAGAGACGTTTCTCGCGTCAAATCATTCGTGAACGAGTCGTTCCGTTCACGAATGATAGACATTAACCGGTTCAACGGATTCATTGAAAAGATCCAACTCCAAAGAAAGTTTCGTTCACAAATCGGACGCCGTTTATACATTGTACTGTGTTCTTGTGCAACATGCTTGTTCATTCTAATGGTCACGTCACAAAGGTAAGGATTCATTTAGTATTGCCAAATAACCTTTTTTTGACTTCACAGGATGTCACAATTGTTTTCTTGTTTAAAATGTTTATTCAAATAGCTTTCTACGATTCGTATAGGTACATGTCTTTATGATTTCTTTGAGATCAAAGTATAAACAGAAAATTCAAAATATTTTTTTATTTTTGTTGCTTACTTCAGTGCATAAATGCTACAAGTGGTATGTACACAATTAGCCATTTCAAAAGATAAGCAGCACTGAAAATCCCAATCCTTTCACATAAGCCTATTTACAAGGGTAAAAGTGGCCTAGTAATATGACACATTTTTCTATTGCACAGGCATATTCTATGAATTTAAAAAGCCTATGTACTCTCATGCCATAACTGCAAATAAGTCACAGATGACAGTCAAAAAGTACTCATTGCACAGGTAGTTTAGTGTTGAAACAGGCTAATGTAGACACATCACTGGCACTGAGTGCTACATAAGCACAGTCTTAAAAGTATCAAAATACAACATACAAATCAAACACTTGTACTTTTAAATATTAGATATACATTTCATTTTAAATCTCAGGTACTTTTGATAAGCAAGCATGTATACATTGGCAATCCACACCAAATCACTTCAGAAGTTTTTCTTTTGAACTGGGAAATAGGCTACAGAACTAGAAAAAAGCACCAACATTAAGGCACTGAGGTAATGTAACATGAAAACAAAAACACTGATTCTGTATCATCTGATGATTTCACATCAGAATTTTCACAGCACAAGTGATATTCCCCTGATTAAAAGTCCTTGATTCAAATGTTCAATGGTATGTTTACCATTACCATGACACTGGATTGAAAAAAAGTGTTTTGTAACTGAATGCCATCTCTTAAAATAACCCAACTCAGTCAACTGTTAAAGCAAACTATTTCTATCCCTGCTTTTAGAAAAGGCATACAGCATAAACTACTGCTAAGGTAAACATGACTTACATAAGTAATTGCTACTGTAGCTTGAATTAATGCATATCTCAGATACTTCTCTATCACCACGCTGGATTTTATAGGCTCAAATAACACACATATATCAATTAATAATTTATAATTAATACAAATAAAATAAATAATCAATTAATAAATAAAGATACATGGGTTTTGAATGAATAAACATTGAATAAGTTAATCAATATACTCTGAAAGCCATCGAAAACCTTCTCCATATCCTTGTCTCTTCAACACACTGCACATAAAGACTTCCATTGGCCTCAGGTTGAGTTCTTTCAGTGATACATTCCCCTGTGAGAGATAAAAGGACATGTAATGCTCCAAATATTATTCATTGTATTACATAGTACATATACTGCACAACACAAAATGTCTTAAATATATTCCCTCAATGATCTACCTTTCCTGTGGTGTGTCCATAATGACCAAACATTCCTCTCAGCACGTCTTCACTAATTGCTTCTGGACGGTCGATTTTATTCCCCAAAATAAGGATTGGCACATTGGAGATGGTTTCATCAGTTAAGAGGGCCTATGATTAAAGAGCAACGTGCCCTCATTATTACTCAAATACATGGTTGTGTTTTGATTGGTGGGACTGGGAAGAAATTTAAATTAGTGCACTGAAGTCAGTGCAGGTGATATTCCTCTGCTCTCTCAAACAAATGTACAAAACATTCACTATGTACTTTGAAAGTACTAATATGTACTAATATTTAGGGGTAAATAAGATTCAAAGATGTACTTTTTAGCTTTTGTACCTTAGGGTACTGCCCAACTGACGACTTTGTATCATTTTAGAGTTTGGATGTGTTCATAGTTAAACATTCATTGATATATATCTTGTCATAAACAAAACCCTTGATTGTATTAAAAAAAGTAGACTTACATCCAACTCAATTTTGGCTTCTAGTAGGCGTTCATGATCAGCACAGTCAACAAGATACACTATCCCATTTATTGCCGGAAGATAATTCCTCCAAACCCTTCTTGCTGAGAATTGAGAATAGAAAATTGATTGATAAATAAATTTGCATTGTGCACAAGGTTGTTATAAAATTTGTTTCTAAACTTCGTTTCTAATTGAATTTTTTTTTTAAATCTAAATCTAGTAGTGATTTTTGTTTTATTCTGAAATTTTAATTCCAAATTTATTAACCATTTATTAATAAATGCTATATTTACCTTGAGCATGACCACCCAAGTCAAATGTTGTGAAAGTCATTCCGGCAATAGTCAGTTCTTCAGATGCTAGTAGATAGGATAAGATACGGTACATTGTGTACAATGGTTGCTCCAACATACATAGAATTCAATTTGTAAGAATAAGCCATTATGTTCTTTTCAAAGTGTATACACCTCATATCAAAACAGTAAAATATGTTTCACTTTACTTACTAGGGTGAAGTGTTGGAACATGTTGCCCAAGTCGATCATCTTTAAGCATGTGCAACAATGTTGTTTTTCCGGCATTGTCTAATCCGAGAAAAACTAATTTCCCAGACTTTTTATAGAGTCCTAAAATGAAATAAGATTGTGAGAGCACAAAAATCAGTTACATTATGATTTGCGTTCATCAGTATTTCAGTATCTGGCTGATACTTTACCTAATAATTGTAACACACTGCTGAATCCTCTGTACAGCCAATCAAATATGAAAGACATTTTTGTAGCCTGTTCCCTGAAATAAAATAGCAGCAGAATGAGAGAATTGTTCCAATGCCGTACACGATCCAAGACTTTTCAATGGGCTCTGCTAACTCCAGAATAAGCTCTTTACATCTACTGTAAGCAGGTGAAAAACAGCTGGTACTACGTTACTAAATGACCCAAGTTTTAACGTTTTGTCTCCAAGAGTGCACTTAAAAGAAACACAACCCCCCTCGTAGCTATAAACCAAGATCCCGCACACAACATCAGCAAGAAACTATTTCGAGTTGTGAGCCCTTGTCACTTGAAGCCATGGATCTAGCACACAGACATAGCTGTCACTCAAATGACGGCAACTCGCGTTCAACTTCAAGTGCATGTTTATACATTAATAACGGTGTTTGATAACCATCGCAGTATACAAAGCCCAAATGTTTAGCGCGCGTTTTCCAGAAACGCTTCAATACAGGAGGCGCTTTAAAACACATTGAAAACAACAACCAGATATGCTGAGGCTGAATGAGCAAAGTAGAGTATTGTAAAGGTAAAAAAAGCTCAGTATGACGTTATATATAAAGCCCTAAAACCAAGCTTTTGGTGTTAAAAACTGTTTCTATTAAACATTAGTTACAGTTACAGAATGTCTGTTTCAGTCGCGTCATTTGTAATGTTGCATCATTCGTAAATAACACAGAAAACAATGCGTTGTAATAGGGAAATATTCATGTCAATACCTGGAAGGGTCCACTTCTGTTGGAGACCAGTCAGTGCGGTCTGTGTCCTGCTGCTAAAAAAAACAGCCCGAATTTGACGTTTAACCGGAACTGCGTAGCTGCATAGGATGGTAGAATTGATAGTTGTGGGGTCTGAAAAAAAAAAAAAAAAGTTGTGGGGTCTGACAGCGCTTACATTCTTACGTTTGGGATCGGTAAGATGTTTTAATGTTTTTGAAACATGTCTTTTATTCTCACCAAGGCTGCATTAATCAAAAGCACAGTAAAACAATAATATTGTGAAAAAAATCTTCTATTTTAATATATTTCACAATGTAATTTATTCAAATAAAAAGCGTAATTTTCAGCAGCCATTATTCCAGTCTTCAGTGTCACATGATCCTTTAGAAATCATAATAATATACTCACAATAATATAGTAAGTATTAATTTAAAAAAGAAAAAAAAAATCCTACTGACCCCAAATTTTTGATTGGTAGTGTAGGAAAACATGTTAAACAAAAAATTGTCAGCATTATTTGTTCCACACTTGTAGGACATTGTTTCATGAAACATAGATGTTAAGAAGAAAGGCATTTCCAGTCACCATTCACTTTCACTGTATGGGGAAAAAAAACATGCAATGAAAGTAAATGAGGCTGCTAGCATAATCTGTTGTTGCACAGAACAAAGAAAGTCATGTGGGTTTGAAACAACATGAGTTGGAGTAATTGACAGAATATTTCATATATGTAAAGGCAATCTAATACAGAACAAAAGGTATTAACAAACAAGTATCTGATAGCAGTGTCATATGAGAAAAGCTTTATTAAAGCATTTGTTCAGAATCTTACAGTACCTGAGTTTGTCCAGACTATTAGCTAACTTTAGTATCTGTTACACAGAATATTTAACCATTATCAAATACAACTTAACTTAGCAAGACATAGGTTAGCTCCCCTAAATGTTAATGTGAGATTCAGTCCCCAGATAAGGTGTTAAGTGCCCACGTTTTCATAAAATACCATTATACTAGACAGATAATGACATACATATTCGAAACATGATCAGACTGGTCCATTCACAGTGTTACGTTCTTCAGTTCTCTGCATAGTAGCACCATTTGTCAACTGAAAAAGACAGTACAACAAAATAAAAGTCATGTCACATCATGGATACGCAGCAGTAAAAAAAAAAAAATAATAAAATAAATAAATATATATATATATATATATATTTTTTTTTTTTCTTTTTTTTTTTTTCTTTTTAAGAGATCTTATGTTTCACTGTGGGAAAAAAAGACAAAAACAAAATCAAACCTGAGCTTGGAACTGGACTAGCCTCTCCACATGGACATGACTGAAAATGAAAAGAAAAATTAGTTTGAGGTACCACACTAGTTAAGTCTTACTTGACATAAGGCAACACTATTAATGCTAGACAACTGTATATACAATTGATAAAGCAGTGAATAAATTCCTATTAATCGAAAGCAAAAACAAAGTTCTTACTTCATCAACAACTGCTTTGGCTTCATCTGCCGAACAGCAGAATGGACTGTCTCCCTCTGAGACACACGTGTTCTTGCTGCACAGTAAAAGAGAAAAAAGCAACATGACTTATGTTAAAAGGGGGGGGAGCAAAGAAAATTCTCTTTATTTTATATTATGTTGATGTGTTTCAGCAGTAAACCATGTCTACAACTCTACATGTTGTCTAGTGGCTGTAAATGAAAATGCAAACAGTAAGAGCTGAAATAAAATACTATGCAAAATGATCAAACAAATGCAGACCGCTGAAGAAACACTCCCTTACCAGTTTAGTTCTCCAGCATTGGTTTGTTGTGAGATCAGTGCCTTCCAGAAGCCATGGGTGGCTTTGATTGTCTCAATGGCAAAGTCCTGGAATAAATGTAGAATATTTATATGACGAATATGACCAATCACAAATTAAAGCCTGTTTACAACAATTTTCTGAACAGCATGCCTTGTTTTTGAACTCTCCGTTGAATGCAAACTGGTTTTCCGGTTTCCCATCAGGTACCTTGTACCTCCTGAACCAGTCAACTGTGGCCTCAAGGTAGCCAGGCTTCAGTCGCCTCACGTCACTAATGTCTATATTTCACATCAGAAAAATTGCAACAACCACATATATGCATCTCTATTTGAAGTCAAGTGAAAAGCAACGAATGTTACTTACTGTTCAAGTCCTTTGCTTCAGGGTCATCAACATTGATTGCAATGACTTTCCAATCAGTTTCACCTTCATCAATCATTGCTAAAACACCCAGAACTTTCACTCTGATAATATCTCCACGACAGCAAACCTGCAAAGATCAAGCATTGTGGGGTTTATCTAAACCAAATAGAATTGCACATATGACAGATTGCTTTATAAATTTCATAGAATATTTCAAAAGACAAACACTGATATCTATACCTTGTTTCCAATTTCACAGACATCGATCGGGTCATTGTCACCACAACACCCTGTGTCATTGTCTTTGTGCCGACTCTGAAGATTGGAGTAATGGCTGCTGAAAAATTCTGATTTGCCATCACAGGAATAAGTTATTTTTTTTTAATATATTAAAATAGAAGAACATTTTAATTGGAATATTTCACAATATTCTACTGTATGTTTGATCAAATAAATGCAACCTTGGTGAACAAAGGAGAAACAAAACTGACAAAACCTTTGAACAGTAGTGCATTATTAATGTTGTAACAAACAAAAGATTTAAACATTTAACTATGACTGCAGAAACTGAAGCCGTTTCTACCTTCAGTCAGTTTATTCTATGTTTAATGTGTGATCAGTGTTGATTTTGAAGGCTTACTTGAGGGATTGCTCCATAATTCCAAATATATCCTTTGTGGGGGAAAACATTGGCCACATAGCGCAAATTGCCCTTCTTCACGTCTTGCTTAATGGGGTTCAGTGGGTCTTTTGTAGCAATCTGAAAAGTAAACCATAATGTTGACTTATAGAATGACAGAATATTCATGCAGACACCAATTGGTTGACGAGTCATTATTTTGTTTGAATGTCAATACACAACCAACCACAAAATGTAGGTTAAAAGTCTTCTTACTTTCAACATCACTTGGTCTCTGTAACTACTGTAACCATTCATGTTTTAGGTATGTAAATATATAATCTTGCAAATAAACAGCCTGTTACTATCGTTTTATTCTGTTATACTGCAAGTGGTGTAGTTTTGCACTGTCGGTCATACTGTACCTCCATTTTTGCATTTGTCCATCGTGGTACTTCAACAACCATGTGGAAAATGTTCTACAGAGAAAATAAAAATTATTTATTTTTATAAAAAAGGGAACATTTTAAGTAAGCCTAAATGTGACATTCCCATAATAATTTACCCTTCATATTACTAAAAAAAAAATAATGTAAAGTGAATAAGTGATGAGAATGATTAATCATAAAGTTTTACACAGGTAAGATATCAGAGCAGTCCAAAGTATTGAACGATTTAAGATGACACTACTGAAAGGGTAAAGATCGCTCCTCTTACAGACCAAGTCCCTTCACCCGATAAAGAGCTGATATACACTGTGCTGGATTGTGAAATGGCCATTCACTGCCAAAGGGGGCCCATAAGGGAGGGGGATCTACACTGAGACTAGGAGAAAAAAAAAACTTAGAAAATATTAAATTAACATAATGTACCTGAGCTTCATCTGCATACATAGGTATGTCATGGAATGGTGAAATGTACTTTCCATCTGAGTTCTCTGTTTAAAAAAAAAAAAAAGTTTGAATTGCATAACATATATCCGTACAAATAAATATTTCAAAGGCAAATATTACTGATGTTATCTGATCAGTATGATGTTATCTGGCTGAGCACCTGATTTCCATATTGAGGCACAAATAAAAATAACTAAATAAACAATGCCACCATGTCCTCCGTTGTTTATCTTGAAATTGATATATCCCCCCCCCCCCCCTGCTTTTTCTTTT